CCCCGCCCCGCAGAGAGCCCCACAACCAGGGTGCACAGAGAGGGTACGCGCATGCACACCTGAGGACCACCACGCCTCCAGTCCTTTGGACAAGATGGCGGTCCAAACGCTCCAACGCGCCTTCTCGGCTGAACGCGATCTCACCCACCCTTACCTCTCCCTACTCCCTTCACTGCGGATAGAGCGGGGCAGATACGGGTTGACAGGGCCTGTGTGGGCTCTTACAGACGGTGACCGTGAAGGAGGACCAGGTGATGCAGCAGAACCCGCCCAAGTTCGACAAGATCGAGGACATGGCCATGCTCACCTTCCTGCACGAGCCGGCAGTGCTGTACAATCTCAAGGAGCGCTACGCTTCCTGGATGATCTACGTGAGTGCGGCATGAGCCTGTCCCCCAGAACCCAGAGCTTCCTGGGCAACAGCGGCCTCCTGAAGAAGCCACGCCACCTGCTTGTTCTGTGTCCGTGTCCGGGAAGCATGGCCGTCTACACAGGCCCCTGCTCCTTTGGCTCAGTTATAACACTGGGATGACTCAGTTGGATACATTCTGAGCTCTTCTTCCTCTCCCTGGGGCCTTTCTCTAATTCTGAAAAAAATCACCCCTCACGTGCATCACTGACTGCTGGCTTCCTCTTCTTTACCCCCCAGACCTACTCAGGCCTCTTCTGCGTCACCGTCAACCCCTACAAGTGGCTGCCGGTGTACAATGCTGAAGTGGTGGCTGCCTACCGGGGCAAGAAGAGGAGCGAGGCCCCGCCCCACATCTTCTCCATCTCTGATAACGCCTATCAGTACATGCTGACCGGTGAGCCTGGTGCCCGGGCCTGTGTCCCCTCCTCCCTAGCGCGCCTAGCCCCAACCCATTGCCTCTCCTCTCCTCTCTTCCAGATCGGGAGAACCAGTCCATCCTCATCACGTGAGCATAGTTCCAGAATTCCTAATCCTAGCGCCCCCTCCCCCCCGGGGGGGCGGGACGACCCAGGCTCCTTTTTACACACACCTATGGTCCTCTCTCCCTCCACCCCCAGGTCCTTCTCTTTCTTCTCTGCTCTTTGCCTTGTGTCTCTCTTCCCTTGTGCTTCTGTCTTTTTCGTTTTTTTCTCTCTGGCTTCCTTCGCCCGTTGGTTGTCCTCTCACTCTGCCCATGTGTCTTCACTGCTTCATTTCCTTATCTCTCCCTTCTGAAATCTTTTCTTCCCTCCCCATCTATTCTCCCAAAACAGTCCTCTCGTCCGATGGGCCCCGTGTCCTCTCCTGGCCTCTTACCTGCTTGCTAACCCGACCTATGTGCCATTCTCTAGCAGCTTCCTGATGAGAGCGCCCCCTCTCCAATAGGATAGGGGTTCTCCCCTCTATTTTTTTGTTTTGTTTTTTTGAGACAGGGTTTCTCTGTGTAGCTTTGGTGCCTTTCCTGGATCTTGCTCTGTAGACCAGGCTGGCCTCGAACTCACAGAGATCCACCTGGCTCTGCCTCCCGAGTGCTGGGATT